CGAGGGCGACGCCTCGGGGCCGGGACTCCCCATCAGTGCTGGCGGCCCTTGGCATTGCTCCTAACTCCACCATTTTTTTAATGCATAGAAACATTTTACATCCACGTTTTAAAATGAATTTTTCTTCCCCCCCACCATGCATTATAATTACTGTAATTTTAAAATAAATTTGAAGACCACAAACCAAAGCATTTCAATATGCATAAGTTAAAGCATGGCTGGGGGTGGTGGGGCTGGGTATTTCAGGCCTGAGAGCATTTTAAAGGTTCACCCCCTACCCTGATCTGTGACAAGACACATTTTTAAACTCAGGAGCGTTGCAGGATTTATATAAAACTGCTACAAACCCACTTCCTGCCCCACTCCCGCTGCCATCGGGGCCTGGCTGCACCGGCGACCTGTGGTAGCTGGTCACAGCTACGGCTCCCTCCCCAGAGCACATCTCTGCCACGAGCCAACTCCATGCACTCGGGCTCTGCTCCACTTCCCAGGATTTGGTCCCAAGAAGAGAAAATTATACTGTAGAAAAAAACTGACAAACACTATTTCTCTTTCCCAAGTTTTGATTTTTTATGACTGTACCGAATTAATTCTGTATTTTAAATGTCAGGATTATTTAATTCATAAAAAATGAAGGGAAGGCGCTGGGATCCACACATTTAACACCTATTACTGAAACTACAGCTACAGTAAAACAGCAGCCATACATACACAGCGCCTAACTCGGATACGCCTCCTGAAAATCACAGTGAGGCTGTAGCCTCTCTGCTACAGCTCTGCTTGCACATCTAGAGGCACCTTGCGTTCTGCTAAGCGTTGTCTTTCCCTTAAGCAAGTGCATTTGTGAAAAAGAAGATAACCATAGCAGTCCCAAACACAGAAATACAAGCAGGGTACTCAGAGACACCCAAATAACCTAAGGAGGAAAACACTCTTCTAGGATTCACCATCAGCTGTCCAGAGACACCAGCAACCCACTCGTAGTTACGAGATGGAAACAAATCCTCATATTGCTTACGTGGTTTGTGCTATTAAAAACAAAGAATCCTTACAGTGACTTTGCTGTTTCTACGTGAAGTACCCTTTATTCTAGCTACAGGCAGAGAATAATTTGGAGGCAAAGAACCAGTCACTGTAGCCATACCGGAGGATCTGAGCCCTGTCAGGCGTATTTTCCCTTCATTCCCCCTATCCTTCCCCTTCCCCTGAGGAAAACAGCAAAACAAATCAACAAGCATCAATAAAATAAAAGCAGCAAAACATCCCACTGCTGGCAGCCAGCAATTGCTCCCTTTCAGGCTGCAGGGTTTCTCTTGGCTACAACTGCTGCTTTCATTAACTGTATATCCTTGAAAATAATGTAATATTTACTCACTTTCAATGAATCAAAGCAGGCGATTACGCGTCCGTTTTCAACTTGGCAGCTTTTCGATGGGTGTGCAAATTTACATTCCGTGTCTGGTCGTGAGCAAGTCCCTCTTTGGAACTCCCTACACACTTCCAGCGTTAGCCATTTTGTGTCCCGAATCGGCGTGACACTAACAGCCATCTTTAGATTTTACAGGTAGTTAAAATTTCCAATGAAACGGACAAACGAGTAGCTGAACTGATAAACTGGAAATGATGAAAGTGCCACCTCCAGATTACTTTTTTTTTTTTTCCCCCCGCTCCCTATTTTAAAAGTACGTGTAAAATTGGGTGGCCACAATCTCAAGGAAAAGACGTGCCACCAGGAGTTCGCAGCGTGACACTGTTAATTGACAGAGGTTGCGTACTTAGAGAAATGCTAGGATTACCAGCAAGGTGAACGTTAAAAAGTGTGGCCCGGGACTAGCCTCGTGCGCTCAGTTACCCATCCTGAGTGCCAACCGGAGCCCACAATGCAAGCATGAAAACGTGGCAGACCCTCTGACACGGGATTTCCAAGCTGCTTTCAGTAAAGTTGTCTGAAAGGTAATCTCCACGCAGCTGAATTTGCAACGGGGTTTTGTGGTGCAATCGGTATCGATTAGTTTGGCATAGACAGATGCAGCAGTTTAGAGCAACGATCGAGACTGGATTTTTTTTTTTTTTTTTTTTTTTTCCTCCTCTCCTTGATTTTCGGGCAGAAGATATCTGACCTTCTCAGCAAACTTTTATTTTTACAGTAAAGCAGCCTACGGCAAGGCCCGATAGCGCCTTTCTCTCGGTTTTGGGTGGCAGTGGGGGTGTCTGGCTAGAGGTGGCGGGCGGATGCGCTGTCGTCGCAGTCTAGCTGGCAGCAAGCAAGGCAAAAAGCAGCGGCTGCTCTAGAAGCGGTCCCAAGCAGCAGAGACGTCAGGAAAGGCACTTCTTAGTACCAACCTGTAGAGAGAAGAGACACGTT